TCTCTCAGAAACGGCGCAATTTCGCCTTAACTCAGTCTCAGCTGCGCCCCCTGCCGGTCCGCGGCACGCCCGTCGAACCGCGCGCGACTGTGTGGTCGTGGGGGTTGTGGCAGCCGCCCCGCAGGCGCGAGTGACGAAGAGGGTGAGGGGGGGGGGCAAGGTCCCCCGCCCGCGGGACGGCCCGCCTCCTTCCCTCGCCGCCCGCGCCCTGCTCCACGGCGTCTTGGCTGAGAGCAGTGCAGTTCCTGGCGGCCTCCCCACATCTCCGTGCGCACCTTGGTCTCCCCCCCCCCCCCAACATGCCGCCACACGGACGGCCACCCAGCTCCCCGCTCAATAAGGTTGATCACCCTAATGAACCCGCCAGCTCATCGAGACGACTTCACGGATTCACGGACACGGACCGCGGGTCACGATCATGACACCCACCCTCGAGCAGCGAGGATAATCTGTTGCAAACGGCTCGGCTCGAGGATGAAGGCACTACCCCATGGTGCGGGGGTATCTTCTTCTAGGCGTGTAAACGGACAGTCCACCGTTACGGCGGGCTGCTCGGCTCGGCGGCAGCACCCCCAGCCGCGGTGCGCACGGCGAGCGCGCGCCCGCCTCTCCAGCAGCGGAACGCCCGGACGGTAGGCACCATGCCCGCATGACTGTCGTGGCTCCGCGGCTGTTGCCTATCCCGATACCGCCAGGCGCCCCCGCTGCGCCTCCCTCCTACCTACCTACCTCCAGCAGGGAAACGCCCGGCTGGCAGGCAACACGCCCGCATGGCTGTCGTGTCTATGGGGATTTTGCCTATCTCGTCAGGCGTCCCTGGCACGCCCCTCCCACCAACCTACCTCCATAGAACGCCCGGCTGGTAGGCAACACGCCAACACGGCTGTCGTGGCTCCACGGATGTTGCCTATCCCGCACGGCGCCCCTGCCACTGCCACGCCTTCCCCAACAGTGGAACGCCCGGCCCGTAGGCAACACACTTGCATGACTGTCGTGGCTCTGCGGATGTTGCCTACCCGCAAGGCGCCCCCGCTGCCTGGCCGTCATGTGGTTTGATGTGATGCAGCGAGGCCCTGCGGTGGCCGTGGCGGCGGCCAGCAGTGAGTGAGGTGAGGGGGAGGGGGCAGCGCAGGGTGTTTAGCGACATGCAAACTATTTTTTGCTAACCCACTTTACGCTTTGCGACAAGAGCAGGTGAGGAGAGGGGATGGGGGGAGGGGGTAAAGAGGGCGGGCGCTGCAGCTGGGCCGCGCCCCGCGCGACGCCACAGCCACCTGGCCCCCGAAGGTTGGAGAGCGTCGTCATGTAGGTCAAGAAGCAAGTGTACGCGACAACAGTATAAGGGCCGCCCGACCTCTGGCCCAGTCCGACCCGGCCCGAGTGAGGCGCGGCCGGTCGCGGAGGGGTCCAGGGAATCCCTGCTCATCAAACAAGAAACTAGTTACCAGACCCCCCCCCCCTTCTCCCTTCTCTTTCCTCCCCACCTCGTACGGTTAATAACAGCCGTTGAATTTGGCATGCCTACGACCACATCAGCGAACGTGTCCGCGAGAGTGTACCGTTCTACCGAGAGGGGCGAGCAGTGGCAAGTAACTCCTGGGGGGGGGGGGGTGAGCGCGGATGGGCGGAGTGGGCGCGGCTGGGCAAGGTGGGACAAGGTGCAGCCAGACGGCCAAACCAAAATGTCGTCAAGAATGACAACGCCGGCGGGCCTCCCCGGCCACGCCAGGTTGAAGCTCCCGAGAGGAACTGGGGCGGAAAACTCGCAGAAATAGCGGCCCTCGCGACCGCGACTGCGCCGTGTCGCATCTGAAAGGGTGTGCGGTACTTGCCTGTGTGTGTGTGTGTGTGTGTGTGTGTGTGTGTGTAGGTGCCCATGCTCGTCCCATTGTCGTGCTTTGTTTGGAGAAAGGAATCGCCTCAGCGCCGACCTCTGCTTTTGTGGAGTGACTGTGTGTGTGTAGGTGTGTGTGTGGGTGTAGATGTGTGTGTGTGCGCGTGTGTAGGTGTGTGTAGGTTGTGTGTGTATGTGTGGTCGGTGTGAGACAGCTCACCACCCGTGATTCTCGCCCCTTTTGGGTGTGGCTCTTCCTGCTGCGCTGGGCGATGTCGTGGTCGCCACCACCGGGGCCGGAGGGTCAGCCAGGGCGAACGGGACGGGGAGGGGGATGGTGTGGGGGAGGGGGGCGTAGAAAATGAGAGGACGAAGGGGCGGGGGGAAGGGGTGACACGCCGGCCAAGGTCGGGCCCTACCTCGCCCTCGCCTGCTAGTCCGTCCTCTTTGCCGCCCCACGGAGTCGCCCGCCCAGCCTCGCCCCGCCACGCCCCACGTACCCGCCTGATAAATGGCACTGGCATTTTGTAAACAGGGAACCGAGACTAGCGTGAGAACGCCACCTCCCCTTCCCTCCCCCTTCCCTCCCCCTTCCTAGAGCTGTGCGAATTGTTCGATATCGAATCGAATCGAATCGAATCGGCCTGATTCGAATTCGTTCGATTTCGAATTTGCCTGATTCGATGTCGAATAATTCGAAATTTCGAATCGGGTTGGTTCGACATCGAATCGCATTGGGGTGCAGTGTGCGGCACCCGCTCTATACCCGCACTACACGTTGTTAGTCGTCGAACATTCACGTTACAGAGCCAGTTTAAATGAGTTTAAAAATACCGCGTGACTTGCATACGAAAAATACGACCGATTTTTTTTTTCGATTCGATTCGGGCTCGAATTTGGACTGATTCGATTCGATTCGATTCGAAATTTTTGAGCCAATTCGATTCGATCCGATTCGAAGAAAATTTTTGAGATTCGATTCGATTCGATTCGAAGGCAAAAACCTCGATTCGCACAGCTCTACCCCTTCCCTCCCCCCTAGTTCTACCGCCGCGCCACCACCACCCCCTTTAGCTTGCACACCGCACCAAAGTTACGTTACTGTTCATGAAGTCGCCTCATAGCGGACGCCTTCTTCTTCACAAACGCCCAATTTTCGAGCCGACGTGTTTGAGAATGTTGACCTCGTCTCGCCATTCACGTGGCTTTGATAAAGGGCACCAGGTAAGCCTCACACAAGCCTCGCCCCACCACGCTCTGTTGTTGTTGCGCTCAACTATGGCTCTCATGGCGTAGTATGATGGCCCTACACTCTTCGCGTGCCTCTGGTCGGTTCCAAGCCCATTACTTCTCGTGACACGCGTCGCACGCCCCCGCGCTGGGGGGGGGGGGGGGGCACTGCCAACTACGCGATATTCCAGTCCATTAGTCTACACATGGCAGTTTTGGAGAGAGGGATGGGGGGGGGGATAAAAGGCGCATAGCTCGCACAACTACACTTCTTCACAAGCCCCACGCCCTTGGATAAGGGTTATACTGGTTGCACCACACCCCGCAACAAGGGTTTCACCATTTCCATACTCCATATTCCCAAAGAAGTCCGCCGGTCTTGACACGGACACATGAAATGCGTTTGAACTCGCCGGGAACGCACCCGTATTACACCCTGCTTGCTAGCAATCGACATTGGGCTGTGCGCGACGCATGTTCTTGACTTCTTCTGCAAGCGCATTGGCTTGTGCCAAGACCGGCGGGCTCTTTGTGGATGCAAAAGCGTCACGCGGCTCGCGATTCGATTCTTGCGAGAAGAATAGTCGTGTCCCAGAGGCATGGGGTGGGGGTCGGATTCGGTCTGACTAGGTTGATCGCGTCGGACGATTATTGTTCTCGGGTGCGCCCGGCGGGGGGCGGGGCGTCACTACTGGCACTGCGCCTGAGGAAGACCCACGACCTGTCTTGTACCGCCGGCCGGCGCGCCGCGTCCGCGCGAGGTCCATCCCTCAGCGCGCCTCAGCGTGATGCGGGGAGGAGCAAAATGAAAAAAAGAAAAGCAAAAAATAAGTGTTTAGCACTGTCTTAAAATTTTCTCTTCTTTTTGTAGATCCCTAACGGCCGACACCCGGCCTAGTCGTTTAGACCAGTCCGTTTAAGTCGCCCACCTGGGTGGCGGGGGCGGCGGAGCTGGCGGACGCGTGGTGGTGCGCGGGGGCGACCCCCCTTCTTGCAAGTGTCGCGCGTACACTTCTGCAGCGCCGCGGCAACAAGCGGCCCCGTCTCGCCTCCCCCGCGCTCCCCCCGCTCACCCCTGCTCTCCCTCTCGCTCCTCATTGCTCTCGCTGGCTTCACTCTAGCTTCAAAAGTGAAAACCGCCGCGGTAAGCCACCGCGCGAACGGGGCCAACGGCGCTCTCGGCCGACAAGTGCGGCGTTTAGCAAGTGATCTCTGCTCCTCTAGAGTGACCTGCGAGTGCGTTCGTTCAGCGCGTCGAGAGGAGTGGAGTGCCCGCTGAAGAGATCCGCACCACTGTAAGAGGTCGGGGTTTGGTGAGACGGAGCTTTGATCAGATATGACTTGTTCACAGAAAATCGAGTAGTTCGCTGGGAAACATTGCCTCATATGCGTTATCTCTTATTCGAGGGTTCGAAATATCACTTCAAATAATAATATTGTACATATGTCTGAATGACACTTCTCCTGTGTGTTCGGCATACTGTGGGTTGAAAAGCGGCCTTGCCGTCGGACGTAAGCAGCGCTTGGGGGTCTCAGGGCTGGTGCACCCTGCCGCAGTCGTCCACCACCCGCGAAGCGACGAGGGCGCCGGGGAACGCGGTGCGTGGCTACGCTACGCCCGCTATACTAACGCCTTGGCGAAAGCAGCTCAGCCCCCCTCCTCCCTCCCCTTCCCTTCCCTTCCCCCTTACTCCCCCGAACCTCCTCCATGGTTGAATTTATCGCGCGCTTTTGGTCACGCCCGATTTATTTATAGAACAATGCCGAAAGTAAATTTAGACCAGTTTAATCAGCCGGTGCGGCTCACAGCCCCGCCCCCCTTCCCTCTTCCCCCGAATCCCCGGCATGATGTCCTGGCAGAGTGGTGTCTGCTCTTTCTACCCCCGCGGTGGGGTGCGGGTATGAGACCGGCCCGTAGTGGCGGAGCCAGGCTCAGCAGAGGGAAGGGCTGGTGTGCTATGCATGCATACAGTGGCAGTTGACTGCGGCCCGCTAGGCCTAGCTAGGCCGGGCCGGGCGCTTCGGCGCCACTACCCTCGATACCGCGGATCTGCCTGTCTATAAACCCGCGACGGAACAGTCAGGGCCCGCTTATATAGTCGCTGACTCAAACCGCCCACCCCTTCTCTCGCTATCCCCGCCGTACGTTTGTACGACGGAGAAATCGTTTTCGTAGGAATTCCCCTCTTTTCGACCTCACGGGCCGAGGCGTGCCGTGGTGCCGTGCGGCGCACATACACAACTCGTACAGTCTCCCGCACCAACGGTTTGAATGCATTCGTTTGCATTCTGCGCAGCGAGAAGAGGACTCCACTTTCTCTAAGATGGGTGGATAACGAAAGCGCGAGGGGAGGGCGGGGTCACAAGAAGTATTGTTTATGAAGGCGAGAACGCTTCCTGATGCGCCCCGTATATCTGTCAGTGCGACGCGGCGGACTCGACGGACGTCCCGACTCTCGCTGCGCCTATTCTTAGTTAGGCCTCCTGCACCGTGTAGCGGGCAGAGTAGCGGGCGGTGGCGGCGTTGGCCGCGGCGTGGCACAACGGGCACAACGGAGGTGCCGCAGCACGCGTAGCGCACGTGCCCCGCTATCAAGCAGAAAGGGGGGGGGGGCATTGCGAATCATACCCGGATCGCTCATCGCTACGATAGTGAGCTCAATACACGATCCCAACGCCGGAAGAGCGAGAGAGATCTCCTTTTCGTACGCCATTGCGTCGCTGTGGTCGTCGCTCGATCCGCTCGATCACCACCATCTCCATACTATAGCGAATAGCCCTGGTCATTCCCTAAAAACTTGTGCCTCACAGTCGATGAGAGTCTTCTCCCATCCTGCTGTCCGTGCCTCCACCTCGGCATCAACGAATTGACATCCAACTTAGCACCTTTGTCCGAGCTGGAGAGAAGAATCACCACCGGCCACACACTCACCCAGCGGCACGGCGAACGGGAGCGAATTTCGCGCTCGATCAGCTGAGCGGGGCTGAGGGGCGTTTTCTGGCGCGTGGCGCTATCTAGCGGAGCTTGCGTCGAAAGATTCTAGTCTAGTGGGCAGTGACCATAGTAGTCATTCCCAAAATGGCAGCCGTATCGACCCGTAACGATGAGAAGGGTAAGAAAAAAACCTCGCAGTTTCCTCAAGTCGTGATGTGTTTGGATTAAAACTGTATGCTGGACGCTAGCCCTGTGTAGTGAAAGTGTGAAAACTGTTCGTTGGTAGAATGTGTTCGCCATCCCATGCCTTAATATTCTCCGACTTTTGATTGTGAGGCATCAAGCAGACGACATTCAGCAGTGTCCAGTTACAAAAAAAAGGGTTTGTCATTTTTGGGGGTAGATGCGAAGGGTGGAGCCCTTTTCTAGTGCCGTTCGAATGTTGGTTCTTATTTCACTCCTTCGCCTATGCGTCCAAATTGTCGCTCGAAAATGCTAGCCTTTTTCGCTTGTGTATGTGAGACCTCCGGAATAAATTGAAGGTGAGGAGACGGGCAGCAGGGGAGGGGGCGGCAGCATTGTGTTTATTTTCTCTCTCGCTGTTCTCGTTGAGATCTTTTAGAGCAGATTTCCCAACTATTTCTGTCTCTGTTTGCTTTAATTTTAATTTTTGGCGATTTTCCTCCCTCTTTGAAACATGGTCGTGGGTGGATGTGTAGGGCATAATTACACACCTCTGATCATGATTTTGTCATGCAATATCACATCAGTAGTAATATTTGACTATTTTTCTCTATGGAAACTGGTTTTCCCCTCCTATTTTTAAGGTGTCTATAACCTAGGGCAGTTGAAGTAAAGTACTGGTATTATCTTTAGGGCACCTATGTTTATCCAAACCATTTCTCCATTCCTGCACCTGCTTTGTCAGTCATAATACCATGTACATTATTTTGTGTAAATTTCTATCAGGAACAGTAACAAAAATAAATGTCAACTTTTTGAACCAGTGCATTGGATAGAACAGCTTAGGAGCTAGTTGTTAATTGTTCTGTTGTGGACAAATGTCAAATAACCTTATACTCAAAACTCTCTAATCATTTTCCACAAATTAAAATGAGTTTTTTTTCTATGGTTGTGTTGCAGGAAACCTGAAGAAGTAAAATATTGTCTTGGGGATGAATCAACAGATCCTAACAATAATATTACCATGACGAATGAAGATCTCTTGCAGCCTGGCCACGTTGTGAAGGAAAGATGGAGAGTGGTAGGTTTTTACTTGAGTCTTGTGATTTCTTTTGTTGAAACTGCCCATTTCAATATAAATTTCTGTTCAGGTACGAAAAATAGGAGGTGGTGGCTTTGGAGAAATTTACGAAGGGCTAGACTTAGCCACTCGGGAACAAGTGGCCTTGAAAGTAGAATCTTCTCGCCAACCAAAGCAGGTTTTGAAGATGGAAGTTGCTGTCTTAAAAAAGCTTCAAGGTAAAACATAAGTAATATGCACAGTTTTATGAATAAAGTTTTTAAAATTTTATAACCTGTATTGATCCATATTTTGATGTTATCTTAGGGAAAGAACATATCTGCAGATTTATAGGATGTGGCCGCAATGAGAGGTTTAATTATGTAGTAATGCAATTGCAAGGTAAAAATCTTGCTGAGCTCCGCCGAGCTCAAGAACGTGCAGCATTTTCTCTTTCAACTACACTAAGGCTAGGCCTACAGATATTAAAAGCAATTGAAAGTATTCACCAAGTGGGTTTCCTACATAGAGATATCAAACCAGTAAGTCTAATTACAAATCACCATTTGGGGCACTATTTGTCGCTCTTGTCGAACTAAAAAAACAAAAATTCAATAAAATTTTCTTCTTATGTTTTCAGTCAAACTTTTCGATTGGTCGATTTCCTCATAACAGCAGAAGAGTGTATATGCTTGATTTTGGTTTGGCTCGTCAATATACTACTACTACCGGAGAAGTGAGAGCTCCTAGAGCAGCTGCTGGATTTCGAGGCACTGTTAGATATGCATCAATTAATGCACATAAAAATAAGGTAATATTTTCATGTTCAAAATTTAATTTTCTTATCACCCTGATTTTGACATCTACTGTGCTGCCTACAGGAAATGGGGCGTCATGATGACCTGTGGTCATTGTTTTACATGTTGGTAGAGTTTGTAAATGGTCAGTTGCCATGGAGGAAAATCAAGGATAAAGAACAAGTGGGTTTAATGAAAGAGAGATATGACCACCGTCTTTTGCTCAAACATCTACCATCAGACTTAAGACAATTTTTAGAACATGTCCAGGTAGGTGCTTTAACATTCTATTCCTTATTGTATTCTCATTTTTCCAGTGTCTGAGTCTTTATGCCTTATTAATATCTATCTTTACATTACTATCTATTGCAGAGCCTAGAGTATGCTGATAAACCTGATTATGCCATGTTAATGGGATTATTTGAAAGATGTATGAAGAGACGAGGTGTCAAAGAAAACGACCCGTATGACTGGGAAAAGACTGGAAACGCTGTTGACAATGCACTTCCGCCTACTAATACTTCCACATCACCAGCTATTATTAGTCGCACTGCACCAGGTGCTCATGTTGGCCATCATGGCACAAACAATAACCAAGAAAATATTGAACCAGATAATAAAAAGGAATTAGAGGTAATACATACAGACCTTTAGAACTTCAACCTCTGTATCTCAGGATTTTTATCTAATTGTTTTCCTGCTTTTGTTTTAACTCAATCTAGGCCCAGTTAGACTCAGCTGCAAACTTGAGAAGGTGGCTTAGACTTCACCCTTCCCAACAAGAAACAACTACTCCACCTCTCAGTGGAGAAACAAATCGAGATAATATGGTGATTGATAAAAACTGCAATGCCACACAGCAGTCCGATCTCAATAGTTCGCAAGCCCAGCAGCAAGGTAAACATGCATTTGCTACTGCCACATAATCAGACATTTTCAAGGGTCATTGTAAGTTTGTAAATAACAGCTATTATCTTACTGTTTAGTAGGGTCTCCTAAGAAACAGTATCCTCAGAGAAGAGTTGTTTCTATGGTTGGAGTTGGGGCCTTGGACAGCCTTGAAGCACGGTACTCTGGTTTGCAAAGTACAACACCAAATCATACTGAAAAAGGTATTGATTGTGAAGGTGATGCAGTAATGGCATCTGCTCGCTCACAATCTGATCGTGCCCGGAAGGTTGCTGGCGCTAATCAAAATCAGTCTCGCAAATCAAGTGAGTTTTTGCTCCTGCAGCAAAATCTTTTACACTTGTGGCTTTCAGAATTTTTTAAAAACAAAATTTATTTGTTTAAGGTGGCGCCACTTTTGGGAGGCTAAGAGTCGTCACAGCACCTGCCACTTGCGTTCAGGATCTTGGAAACCCAAAGCTGCCGAGTAATGGGAGTGTAGCTGCAGATGGAGAGACAGCCAGTGGTCCAGCTCAGACACCTGGGTCAAACACTCCTGGCGCCAGCACACCTGCTGATGTAGAGTTGCCAAGCCCTCGTGTAAGAGAATCTACTACTGAGGCAGATTATTCGTATGATACAAAGCCAGGTATATAGCTCTTTGACTAGACAGAAATTTATTAGAACTACCATGAAAACTTAACCAAAGGCAGCCTGTGTTTAGTTTGTATATCATGAATTATAATTGTGTGTTCCAGAATCCTCTGCTGGTGGAGGGGCAGGTGGCTCACCAGTGACAGATCAGAGAGAACCTTTACGTGAGAGATCAGCTTCGAGAGAGCATCGTCAAAGACGAGCTGTTTCTGCAAGTAGGCCTGTAAGCTGTAAATTTAACAACAGAGATGCTTCATTTACACAATTTGCTGTAATAGATGATGACAATGTGTCAGCTCTTCAGCAAGTGACTCGAGGGGGTGGAGGTTGGTAACTCTCATCTGTTCATTTAACTAAAAAATGTACAAAGCAAGCACTGTAATATCTGTTTCTTTGCAGGTCTCACCTTGGCTTCTCAGTGGAAATCACAATTTGATGATTCTGAGGAAACTGACAATGAATGGAGGGGAGAAAATCTTCAAAGTCCGGAGCACCGTCATAATACATCTTCACAGGTATGCTTTGTTTTCTAAATCTGTCTTCCAATTACTCAAAAAAAAATATAATTGGTTGCTGATTTTTACAACTAACATAAGATGTCATTTACATTATGGTTATTTTTATTCTGCAGGCTGCATTTCCCATTGATGGAGCTACCACAGCCTCTTTAGCAATGAGTGAACCAACCAAACCTTCAGCCATGCCAAACAACACATCTCAGGTCACTGCAAGCCAAGCAACTGTCACTGTTCCTTCAGCAAAAGGAAATACAGCTCAGCAATTAAGTCGTATCAGTGAAGATTCAAAACAAAGCCATCTTCTCTCACAACAGGTAGAGGACCCTCCTACTACTTTAAACTTACTTATTCCTGCACCTACACCTGTGCCTGATGGACCACAGTCCCGCTTTGTACCTTTGCTGAAATCTTGCCTTGCTTCTTGACAAACTACCAAGTAGTCCATAAATGGTGGTGATTGGAGCAACCCAAGTTCATTTTTTATAGGATTTCTTCTTTTTTTCCTGTTTTTAATATGTTTAGATAACATAGTTTAGAACTGTTAATTTTACCGCGGAATTCTGAAAGACTGATTTAATTTTAACCATACTCTATAACACTTCTCAAACTCCTGATCAATATAGCTTGTAAAATATTTTGACCCAAAAATAGACAGCTATTGACAGCCAAGTTGACTTTTGACCATTTTGTATCTGTCTATATTACTGAAGAGGGATTTGTCCTTGATACTGTGATTTTATATTGCTTGCTGCGTGAAGTGTTATTACTATCACTTTTCAAAATTTAGTTTAGCAATATTAGTTATGGATTGTTTGCTTAGGCCTGACGCTATGATATATGATAAAATAGGTTTCTCATGTATATTGATTGTTTTGTTGTATATTGGCCAACTTGAAGTTCTTCATTGACATTTTTAGTCGTATTGCTTTTCAAAAGTGATGTTATGTTTCATGGTTTGCTTTGTTGCTTTGCATAGCCCGTACTGCTTTTGTATGCTGTGATTTTCTGAGTGTTATGAAGATGTACCCAGCTCCTCTTTGTGTGGAAGATCAGGTTTGACCTGTAGCTGATTTATTAAAGGTTTTGAAGTTGTTGACATATGATCATTTTTCTCACCTTGATATAAAGAAA